ATTAGGTTAGTAATTACAAGTATATACACCAAAATCTGATTCTAAGAGCTCTTCTTTATCAGGGAACAGAAAATAAACATCTGATACTTGTTACTCATATTCTCCTTTAATAATTAAAAAAAGAAACAACCAAAGTTAAGACAGTTAATTGAACTGTGAACTAAAGCCTTTGAGTACATAAAATATTAGGGCCAGTTTGAGTTTCTTTACCTTATAGTATTGTCTATTTTGCATGATTGAAGTTATTTTTAGAAAGACTGATTTAAAAACTTACATGGGACACTGGACATGGTGCTACCAGATGATGCAAATTACATATGGAGCCTTGCTTTCCAAAGGCTACTAAATTTGCTCCAGCAATTGGTGTGTAGTGTCTTCCATATCTGTACTCGGAATTACTATCTGCCCTCAGAAATTTGACATGCAAAAATTTACAAACATTTCAGGAAAAAATTCAAGTGTTTTTTGAAATCCTGGCCTTAAAAATGTACTGTTAAAAAAATCCCATCTGTACTCCAGAGTCATGAAATTTTATCACCTTAATTCTGATCCTACTTTCCACTAAATCCAATTTTTTAAACACTGAATTTACTGGGAGTAGGATTGTGTGGCTTTTATATAAAACTCTTTATATTTTTTTCAAAGTTCTCTCAAACTCCATTTTTTTCTTTCCTCTGAAAAAGCTCATAGCTGTCTATGATAGTAAATCTCACTACTGTAAAATCTTTAACAAAATATGCCTTTTATACAAGCTCTATCTGGAAATCTCAGAACCTAAAACACACTGACAGTCAACTGATAATGAGGTCAGAAATACAGGAAAATTTACTTCTAATGAAGTCCGGAGACACAGTAATCAAAGTGTTAAAAATTCATTTCATGCATATCTCATTTGCCTCTTAGCTGATATTTATCACACAATACTGTGAGAAAGTAGAGGTCTAAGATGCTCCAGATAAATGGCTCAATTAATTGTACAGAGGTAGCCCTCTTTGAGCTGAAGCAGAGCTGTGAGCTCTTTATTAAAAGCACTATTCTGTAGCCCATAACCTTGTTCCTTGACTCCTCTCTAGTTTCCAATTTAAACAAGTCCCCATGCGGCCTGCTCTAAAGGGCTTTGTCTCCCTGTCATTGTTAAGAGAGCCGAGGCATCCTGGAAGTGTGAAATCAGACCTCATGAGCTGAACGGTTCCCCAGGGAACGCTGGACTGCGTAGAAGGTCAAAGTCATGGGCTGGACCATCTGAAAGCGTCTGATCACCAGTCTGTGTCGCAGTAAGTGGGGTGGGGAGAGCTAGGAGACTAGAATTGAACACATCTTAATTAAAGCCTACAGACAGCAAAACAAACTGTTTTCTAGGCAGGCTGTCAAATGGAGCTTAGATTTAGCACTACTAATGAATCTAAGTTGCTAACTCTTATTTAAGATAATAAGTCTGGGAGAACTTGATAAAAATGGAGAACTTGATAAAAATGGAGCCATCTCTTTTTTCCTCCCTGTTTTCTTCCTTACATTATATGGCATCGTTATAAGGCAATTTTTTTCTAAAGAAAAGCAGGAACACCTTAATAAAGCAGCAGCAAACACCATCTTATTAAGCCAGTGGGTTTCCAGTCCAGAAGGCTAAGCCTTCTATATCTATCTATCTATAAAAACTTTGTTACAGAAAGCAGAATATATTTTTACCTGACTACTGCTTTAACTGATACTGTATTTAATTTTGAAAAATTCCTATTGCTTTCTGAAATACAATTAGGTTAGGAAAAAAATACGAGTAATTTAAGCCATCGGTTTATATGATGATTCCATTTTGCATTTCACTATATTGCCAATATATACCTACAAATGGGCTTGATTGTGGCTTTCTCTATAACAAGTGGCTTTGCTGAGGAGACTTTCATCACTTCCTGGACAATCACAAGCTAGCTGAAGGGAAAGTGAGGGAAAGGGATGGAATAACTTTTGTTTGAGGATTTGGGGGGTGGGAAAGAGAAAAACTGATCCCAACCATGCACCAACCCATCCCCAAGCATCGAATAAGTAACGCTCAGGAGCGGATTTAAATGAAAACGTCTAAAAAAAGAATAGAACAGCCAAACAGTATTTTTTGTTCCATTCCCTTTGTTCAAATTACAATTCTAAAGTTATATTTTGTAATATTTTTCCCAGTGAATGCCTTTTGCTCCAGCACAGTTCCCAACTTAATTAAATCTGACGTTGAAGGCCCTAAAATTTTTGGCCTGAGGCAGGAATTCTATGACCACATTTGAGATATACTGCTCTGTATTTTTCCCTGATGAAAGGAAAATATATTCTTACAGTAGGTCACTTCTTTTAGAGACCAGTCATACAAGTGCTCATCATTCCCCATTCTCACTGAAATTAAGCTGGAGTGCTGAGCACTGAACACTTCAGAGGACTGTCCTTTTGTGTGTTTGTCTAAATGGATTGACCGAATAGTACATTTCAATAAGTCTCAAACTCAGTTATATCACACTTCATTTTCAAAACTGTAGCACCCAGTTTTTCAAGCTGTGAAAGCCTGCTCACAAGTTGGCTGAAATTTCAGTCCACTTTCATGTCTTGTTCAATGTATGTGTATGTATACGAGTTGTAAACTGAGGCCTTAACCACTGAGTTAATCTCTTTTTAAAATCTGTATTAACCTTAATGATTTGAAGTGCACTGTCCAACACTAGGCTATTGAATCTAAAGAAAAAACTACCCTCTACTATCAACAGTTTATTAGGGGCTTAACTGAAGTGACCTACTGTAGTAGTATTCAGCTGAACAAGGCTATGGGCTTTTGTGGAAAGGAAAAGAATTGAGGGTTTCATTAAAAAGTAATTTGTGCTTTTTACTCCCGCATTCAATGGGACTCTCAATTGCTCTTTATTCACACAGAGTTAATACAGTATTACAGTGCTTCTCAATGAATGTATGGTAACAAAAGGAAAATTTTGCATTTTGAAAGAAAAATTCCTTTTAACTGTAGCAAGATTGATGACTACTTAAAAGATTACAGAAATCTTTCCCACTCTGTGCTTATGCTTAATGATGGAATATTATGATTTCTTAAAACTATTCAGCCTAAACTAATGAATTTTGATTTATTACTTTTAGTAAAACACGCCTGAAAGTGAAATGGGATATTTTCAGCCTACAGGAAAGGAAGTAAATCATACAAGTACTGCACAGGGGTATCTATGTGGTGCTATTTAGACTCCAGGGAAAAACCCTAAGATTAACACAAAGAGTATTTGTATTAGATAAAAAAAGCAAACCAGCATCCTGTACCATATTCATATGAGCAACCCTTAATCACATATGTAACATTATTGAGGCCAGCTGGTCTACTCACATAAGTAAGAGTTGGAGGATGAGTTCCTAAATGCTATCTGTCTACACTTTGCTGGAGACGTATGTGGAATGAACATACAATGAAGAATTAAACTCAGCCATCAGCAAATCAATCATTTCTAAACATATATTATTCAAATTCAAAATTGAATCTGAAGGTCACCTACATAGTTCTAAAGGTCATTTTACAAAATAGGTGTAAATTATAGCATTACTTAATACACCTTTTGCTCACCTTTCAAACTGATGGCAATTTTTTCCTCAAAATGTACAGTAATTTGCATAAACTTTGAAATATATAACCCTTTAGAAACCTCTATATTTTGTCAGTAATTGCTCTGGCTATTCCTGGAGAATAAAAAAATTTAGGATCCATGTTTCTTCCATTTGCTAAACAACAGTCATTACGAATGTACAAAGTCTGAAAATGGTTTTTGATAGCTATGCACATCTCTAACTGAATCAAATATATTCCTCAAAACTTCTACAACTGGCACAAATGACATGTTGATCACGAAAAGTCCAAGCCTGAACAAGGTCAGAGACTGAATTATCCCATTGCCCCTGAATAACTTAATCTCTCTCTCTCTGCTTAGAGCACATTGGATTATAAGGTCAAAGCAGAGTGAGGAATCTCTAGAAATGTTTTTCCAATCTCTGCCAAAGACTCTGTTATTTTGTATTTCACCAGCTAGATATCTTATTTCAGCAATAAAATTTTGTCCTGTTTGATCTTCTAAGATAACAAACTATTGATATTCATCTTGATTTACACAGAACCATTAGGACAGGAATTTTTACCATGTATTTGTACTTGTGACAGAACTTTAAATTCTGAAGTGGCAGCTAAATCAAGTAGGTTAATCTAGTCAGCTAATTCATGAATCCTTACAGCGTCAGTGGTTATTCTTAGAGACAATTTCATCTCTTATTCAACATGTGCACTGCGCAGGAGGGCGTACTTTTAAGAGAACAAATTTCTGAAAAAAATTCTATGACTCCAGTGATTATTCTTAAGTTTCCAAAAAGAAGGGGGCAACATCATCCAATCAATTAATTATTAATACACAGAGAAAAAAAGAACATTTAAAAATGAAGGCTTTCAATTTCAATTATTTTCTTTGGACTATTTTGGAAGCAGTTATTCAAGTCATTTTTCTATAATGGGTCATTTACATTTATAATGCTGGTTGCAGGAAACTATTTCTTTGGAAGATTTTTTTTATTTTAGACCACATACAATGTGGCAAGTTTTTTAGTAGTACCAAAACATTCCTCTTTAATTCAGTTTTGATTCTGAGAATTTTATGTATTTGTATCCATTAAAAATAAAGTCTTACTTTTGTAGCACATGGAATGTCTTTGCAGGACCTCTGATGGTGAAACAGGTGTATTTCTCTTTCACATAAATACTGTGTATAGGACTCTATTCACTGGTATTACAAGGACTCATAGCCCAGTATATAGTACGTTTTGATCGCTTGGAGATTTTTTTGGGATAAAAGGTTGGTGAAATTCTGACACACTTATCTTCCTTAAACTCTATACTTTGTAGAAGCTAATCAATTTTTATAAAATGACCCAATCCAAGACTCTTTCATTATACTATATATTATATCAGAAAGTGAATCAGATCTTGCCTGTGACATCAGCTGCCATCAATGCTTCTGCTCTGATGACCTTGACTTGTAGAAATCCTACATCCTTCATGTTGTGAAACATCCTCATTGTGCTCTAAACAATAATAATAAAAAGTTACTACAGGCTACTGGAGAGGAAAAAGGCTAATGATTTTCCCTCCCTGATCCAAATTTCATTAAATACAAGGATGTGTTTCAAATGACTGCCTTCTTAATTTTTAATTTCAATAGGAACTTACTGTTCTCAGTCTTTATTTCTATACATTCCATTTTAAGATAAAAATCGAAGAGTATGTCATGATAAAATACATTAATAAGAAATTAACATTACTGCATTACTCTAAGATTAGATATCTGAGCAGTTAACTACTTAGATTTTAATATCCTATTTAGACAACAAGAGATAAAATATACAATAGCTCCTCTTGCTCCCGAAAATCATTCTTATGTTTTCCCTATTACAGTTTGTGTAAAATAATTTTATGAGTAATGTTTAACAAGGGTGACACCTGCAAAGACAGAGTAAGAGATTAAAGTATGTGTCTCAGTATATTACAAGGAAAGCTCATAATAAGAGTATTGGCCTCACCATCAAGATTTATATATAATTTTGACTTTTTTTAAACAAAAAACCTGGAATGAAGTACTAGCATTTAATCATGGTAAAGCAATATTTTTTGGAAATCTGTTAGATGACTATTTAGAAAAAGTGTTTTAAATAAAAAGGAACAGAATAGCATTACAGTTAGTTCATTAAGCCAGAAAGATTTTCATAAAGCACGAATTCAGTGGCCAGTTCCACAGATGCGTTTTTAATCCCACAGTTAATTGAGAGAATGCTTGCTAACATTTATTTTTAAATTATTTATATATATTTGGATCTCCAAAACTGCAAAACCAAAATTAGGCTCCCAAATCCAGTTTTAAACATTTAGGAATATGGTCCGATTTTCAAAAGTGTTTGAAGATCTTGACCTTAAAAATTAGCATCTATGTACAAAATCACTCGACAAAACACTCGAAGACATTTTTAAGGCCCAATAGGTTTTATGCGCGTGGCCTTCCCATTCTACTATTGTGACTCAAAGCATGTGAAGCCTCTTGATCTGACTATTTATAACAATGTTTTGGTTTGTAGGCCATGCAAGCATCAGCACAGACACTAAGTCAAGGACTTATAATTGTATTACAGGACTAAAACCGACTTATGGAAAATTAAGAATTTGATGCGAGTAAACTAACATTACTGTTCTAAATGGTTATGGTGCACATAAGCTTAAATGGTAGGCTGCTTAAAATATATATTTCTGCATACCAAACATAGCTATTAAAACGCATCCTTGTCTTTTATGAAAAAAAATTTGACAGTCAAATCATACTTTGACATTAATTTTATAAGTCCCATATGACTGTTTATTATTTACAATGAAGGTTTGACCTTGGTATACTAAGCTGAAGAAATTCAATTATGTGCAGTCTCATACGCTTTACTTATTTTCATATATTGACAGTGTTTATCAGAAGGATTACATTTTAATCTTTTTTAACATTTGTTTATCTTCAGAAATTTGTTTAAAATAGACAGATGACAAAGTTTAATCAAAATATACTTCAGCTTCTGTTTATGTACTTGCAAATTGAGGGTATTAGAGGTGATGTTACAGAAAGTGATGTTATAATTCAAATGCTTATTGGCATATCATTTTTACAATAATGATTACATTTTGGAATCCTCTTATTAGGTCTGACATAATACAAACAATTTCCCTCTTCTAATGCAGTGTGGAAAGGGAAGAGATATACTGTACGCCCTCACCCCCCAAAAAAAGGGGTTTTGAACCATTTTTTTTAACCTATTTAACCCAAGTTTCATAGTGGCTACACCAAATATTAAATAGTGGATACAAACAAATCCCCCAAGCTCCAAAAACACTGCAAAAAAGCAGCATTACTGTATTTCACACTGTATCTGATACCCCCTTTACAGACTCTGGAGGATAATTATGGTTTCAACTTTTAGTTTCAGCAAATCAGATGATTTAGAGTAATTCATTGCATATTCTGACAAGATGGGTCCCTGGCATATGGTACAATATTATTGTAGGGACTCTAGGATATATGAATTATTTTAATACATTACTTTAAATATGTAACTAAGTAATGATTTATCAAAATACATTCGGTCTTATTTATGATTATTGTTGAAGGCCTCGAAACCTGGATGGTTTCTGAAGCCTGAAATTTCCATAGCAGAGGAATCTATGATTTGCTGTGAATCCTTTCAGCCCTCAATAGATGGGAAAAGATTGAAATGCTCTGGAGATGAGTCCTCTTTATTTTTTTAATGAAAGGCTGTATAATATATTTTCTGTATGGCTGCAGCAGCTGTCAGGGAGAGCATCTCAGTTCAGCTCTATTATGGGAGAAGCAATACCCCATCCTATGGCGTCGAGATACACTGAGGGGCCAGTACTGATTGACAGCTTGTCACCGTGACGTCTTATTCCATCTCTGTTATGGAGAAAATTAATGTCACACCACCAGCCTTATGACTTGCTGTCATCTTAGAACTGCTCACCTTTTATCAATGCTCTAAATAACATTTCAAGCCCATCGTCTCACGGTGGACAATCCGGTCAAGGGACATTAAATCGGATGACTGTGAAATGTCATAATAAAAATGGAATGCTAACAACTTCTTCTCTAAACTAGCTTCTCTGGTTTTTAAACTGTGACAAGGGGGAGCAGGGGTTCAGCACACCAGTTCTGAAAAGGTCATACAATCTCTCTTGCTCTGTACCCATTACTGCCCTCCTCCCCCAGCCCAAAACAGATTAATCTTCTCAGACAATTGTGGTAAAATAACGGTTCAAATAGTAATGTCTGTTTAATTTGTAGGGCTCTGATGTTCAGCTACAAATGGTTAAATGACAGTAATAGAGTCATTTTCCAGGGCTATTTGATCTGATGCCAGGGTCAGCTCATTAACTGCTTTTGGCCACAAGAATGGATGCACAGCACATTTCAGATAGCAACTAGCAAAAAAAATAAAAATAAATAAAAATCTAAAATATAGTTACCAAATGGTATAATGTATCTCACTAATTGCATAATACTGGTTTTTTACATCTCTGTCCTTTAAGGCAGATACTACGCAAACACTAAAGATAAGCAGACAGCTAAGGAAAGAAATTTTGAATTCTGAAATATTGTATTGCAAGTCTTAGCCCTCTATTTCTGCTGCTATTTATTGGTCACTTCAGTGAACAAAACACTACACAGGCATTTCAATGTTAAAATGTAAAATGCATGCAATTGTAAAACTTCATTTTTCTGCCAGATACTGGATTGAATACACTCTTCAAACAATGCTTATTTGTTTTCTTAAATTTCAAATACACAAAAATGTGCATATTGAAAATATTTAAATTTTGAAAAAACTGTGTTTTGTATATATAAACGTCAGAATAAGAAATCATTTGATTATTCTTTTACCACATAAATAATCCTATGTATTTAATTTATGAAGAAAAAAGAAATTAAGAAAGCTATGTAAAAATATGGTGCAATAGTATTTTTCTATACTGATGCTAAATGATCAAAACTATCACTATCACTTAACTTGCATCATATTACCATAATGATCCACAAAAAATATGGTATTTTTACACTTCATATCAGAATGTGTGTCACTATAAAATTTATCAGAAATGTTTTATACTATACTTATAAAAATCTACACGCTGTATTGGTAAATGTCAAAATCTGAAATAATTCTCATAATTGTAATTATATTTCAGAGATGGTACACAGTACTTTAGCTCTAAGTTGAGCTAGAAAATATAATGTTTAGTCTTGCTAAGTCACCTCTATTAAACTGTGTTTATGATAACACTATTGGTGTATGAGTTGTACAAGCATTAGCAGACAGCTGATTCAGTGGAGATAGCCTGAATAAATTTGCTGAAGCGCACATCCTGCTAATCTGTTTGAAGAATATTGTACAGCATTAGTACTAGCACTTCATGTTATCTGCACAGTCTGATAAGGTACATCTTTATTAAATTCAGTTATTGAAAGGATGTCAGTCAGGGAATAGGAATATTTTAAAATCTTTAAAAAAAATTAAGCGGCCCTTTGTTCGTCGGAGCTTGGTTTAATGGTTGAGTGTCTAGAGAAGCCTTCTAAACACCTGGCAGCATTGTACAATAAAAGCTTTGTAATTTTAAGTGGAAATAGCTTCATCTGTGGAAAGACAGTTACTTTTAGTGATTTAGGTATAAATAAATGCTGGAGTAAGAGCTCCCCTCTCTGTTGCTTTAATAAAACTACACAGATTCTGCACAATGTGAGGATGCTGGGAAATAAAATAATTTGCTTTAGAATATTCTAAAATGGAAAGATGGCTTAGAATATTTTAATGATACAAACCACTGCTCCAAACTCTAAGTCAAAAGTAAGAAGTCTGTTTGCTTTCTAGTATGCTATATAACAACTGACAAACCTTTGCAAAAGATATGGGTACCTTACTCAAGCTGAAATGAATAGTTGCTATTGTACAACTGCAAAACAACATCTTAAATTTTACTGCATTTAGAAAACAAAAATAATCCAAATTACATCAAGTAGTTTGACACATGGTCAAATACAGTAGCTGAATATTAATATACACAACACTTTATAGAAAGGTTAAATTTAAGGCTCTGATTATGTTAGCCAGGTATTTAAGCCAATTACTATTAATAGCAATTAGCTTATATCAGCATTGATTATATAGCAGATAAATTCAGAAATTTTTCTCAGAGTAGTTAATTATTTGTAACATTATGCTAAAAAAGTTAAGAGATAGGTACTACATACATATCTCTTCAGTATTTCCTCTCGCTCTTTCTGATCCTCCAAGGAGTTGACAGAGAGGTCAGAAATACTGACTGCAGCTGATGCTGTCAGGGTGACCAGCAGCACCAAGCATCCTTCTCCGTCTTCCAGATGCAACTCCAGCTTGTGAGTTTGTTCTCTACTCAGAGCCGACAGGTCAACCTGGCACCTAGAAACAAACGTTTTGAATCAGTGAGTGGCTTTCTTCATTAGATCAAACAAGAGCCATATGGCCTGACCTGCACTCCACTATGTAAAAAGTAGAAATTCCTTCTCAGTCCGTGGAAGGATTTATCTTCAGTTTCAGCCACATCTCTTGCCTAATTTTAGCTTTAATTCATTATATCGCAGAGGAACTGTACATTTATTTTAAATATAAACTCCAAAGAAGGGTCAGAATCAAAACCTACCACAAATTAGGGTACTAGAAATCCAGATTCAAATCCAAATTGTGAAGCTTTGATCTGTCTCTTATGTGTACATAACACACACACACACACACACACACAAAAGAGTGTGCCTTTAAAAATAATTGAACACCAAACTAATACTAGTCATGCTTTTTTGAACAAAAATTCTTCATTAAATTGACCATGATAGTGGATAAAAAGACTGGATATAAAAATAAGGGGAACAAGGCATCCAACCAACGGCTACATTAAACCTCCTGTGATGGTTCTAGGTACAAGAGGCAGAGCAGAAACTGCACACACTATATATTCCCACTTTGAGGAAAGTAGACAGGAGTAGACTCTTCATGAGCCAGTGAGCATGCATGTCTGGGGACAACTGAAGAATGCTTCAGCCTTAAAAACCAGAGAGAAGCAGAGAAAGTATTGTCAATCACCACTCATGGAATCATAGAATCCTAGGGCTGGAAGAGACCTCAGGAGGTCATTGAGTTCTGCCTCCTGCTGAGGCAGGACCCCTCAAACATGGGCACACCTAAATCAAGCCTTAAAGGACAATATCATATAGTCAAATATTCTACATATATATTCTAGGCATCTAGTAGTTAACGCTGTCAGGTATTTTAAATATATTAGTGTATTTTATAGATTTCATCTTTCCTAGAATATAGCTGTGAATTTCTTTACATTTTCAGACTAAAACATGATATGAACGGTCATACTAGCATGGACAGGACTTATTAAAAGTAGTAATTTAACTATTTACATCCATAACTTTTTTCTTAACATTATAACAGTAGATTAAGTATATCCATGAAAATAAAATCCAAATAAATGGGTAACATTCTGCTTACAGTTTGGCCATTTAATAATCTGGTTTTAACCATAATTATTTAATCTGACATGTCCACGTTCTATATGCCACTCTGACTAAGCTAAACAGCTCACAAATTCTTTTCATAAAAACATGAACAGATTTTGCAGAGAGATAGTGTGCTGACCGCAGGGCCAATAAACGGAGAGAAAGGTGACAGACATTAATAAATAGGCATTTTAAGACAGGAAATAGCCAACCATGAGACTAAATGGGCCCCATAAAATGGGCACTCTGCTATTATGAACACATTAAATTTATTGGAAGGATATTTCACCCTCTTTCCTGTTTACTGTACATTGTTTAGCTGTCGTTTAGCCAAAACAAACCTCTCCAAAGCTGATACAGTAGTTAGATTCAATTAATTATCTTAAATGAAACATTTTAAAACAGAGACAAAGAACTTTCTGGGCTTTGCATTTGCCTTTTATTTTGGATTTTTATAAAGTTACAGTCTAGCTGAAATAAAAACAAACAACAAAAGTTATATTAGGTGTTGTGTGCAGCTGTAGAATTGTGGCTATAGACCTTTTGAATAGTTTTGATTTTCAATTTGTTGGTGTTCCTATTAACATAAACCAAAAATAGCAATTGGTGTGTAGAATGGCATATTAATGTTTGAGGAGAAGAATAGAACTGTTGGAATTTCACTATCCTGCATCTTAAGGTGGAGGGTTGTTTATCTGGCTATCTGGAAGAAGAGTGATTCTTGATGGCTCAGAAGGGACGGGGAACAAGACACATAAAATTGCTGGAAGAGGCCAGTATGTATTCTCTTCATGACTGAAGACTGAGGGGGTTTAAAAGGTCAGGCTGTATTGAGACCCTCCCTCTTATTCATGTAGTAGGATCAGCAGCACCCACCATCCCTCCCTATTTTAATATATATACCAAGTTATTGGCTATTTCTACTGTCCACATTATGTTAGCCACCCCGATAAGGGGGTGAGAAGGAATTTTTCTCTTTCCACCAAGCTGGCCCACACGCAGTTGTGGTTGGGGTTTTCCCTTCTTCACAGCAGGTCCGACTTGGTGGTAGGCCATATCCTGCAACTTACTATTTAAGTTGATAGCAGATGTTCAATGCAGGTACTCCATAAAAGTCAATATGCAGTAATGGATAAATGTCTTGGGAAAGGACTCAATAGAGACGTAGAACATAACATAATAATGGCCATACTGGATCAGACCAAAGGTCCATCTTGACTAGCATCCTGTCTTCCATCAGTTGCCAATGCCAGATGCCCCAGAGGGAGTGAACAAACAGGAAATCAGCAAGTGATACCTCTCCTATCATCCATTTCTAGCCTCCAACAAAGAGGTTAGGGACACCATTCCTATACATTCTGGCTAATAAGTATTGATGGACCGAACCTCCATGTATTTATCTAGTTCTTTTTTTGAACCCTGTTCAAGTCCTGGTCTTGACATCATTCTCTGGCAAGCATTTCCACATATTGACTGTGTGCTGTGTGAAGAAAAACTTCCTTGTGTGTGTTTTAAACCTGCTACCTATTAATTTCATTTGGTGACCCCCTAGTTCTTATGTTTTGGGAACAAGTAAATAACTTTACCTTATTCACTTACTCCATATCTGCCATGATTTTACAGAACTCTATCATATCCTCTTCCCCCTTTTCAGCTCTCTTCACATGGCACCCATTCCAAAACCCTAATCATTTTTGTTGCCCTTTTCTGAACCTTTTCAATGCCAGTATATCTTTTTGGAGACGAGGCGACCACGTCTGTATGCAGTGTTCAAGATATGAGTATACCATGGATTTATATAGTGACAATAAGGTATTCTCTGTCTTATTCTCTATCCTTTTTTCAATGATTCTTCAGTAATTGAACCATCTCAGAGTAGTTGGGAACTTCTGACTGGTCTGGCATAGAGCCAACCCCCAACATTACAGTCCACATTACTACTCCTGTGAGGCTGGCGAGAGCCCAGCAATGATGCTCCTGGAGGAATCAAGATGAAAGTGGTATTGGTTGAATCTCCCCCTAGGAATTGTCAGATCCCAGGAATGAAGTTGCTGGAGGGACCTGAGCGGTAAGGAGGTCTAGTAAAGGCATTCCCTCCTTTCCTACCTAATTATGGGAATAATCAAGGGAAGGTTACCTCCACTGTACTTTCCACTTAATTACCATTATTCATTATAGTAAAGAAAAATCTTTTTTTACTATGATGAATAATGGTAACTCCCCTTCCTTTCCTTAGGTTCACTGTCACCCAAACTGCTTTTCACATCAGATTTTATACCAATTTCTCCTTGTTGGTCAGAATCAAGTCTAAAATTGCGGTCCCATTGGGTTCTTCCTCTACTTTATAAACTAAAACACTCAAATGAATTCAAGGACTTACTGGAAACTGTGCATTTTGCCATACAACTTTTCAAACAGATGTCTAGGTAGTTCAAGTCCCTCATTGCTACAAAGATGTGCTCTCAACACTTAAGTTACTTGTTCCAGAAATGCCTCATTTAGTTCTTCCTATTCTGGTGGTGCATAGCCTACTATCTGCAGTATGACAGAGTTAACAGTATGGATGCCTTTCTGGACTCCCAATGGGTCACCCAGGATGGAGACTGAGGTCAGAAGGGATAGGGGTTCTAATGAAGACAGAAAGGCAGTGCAAGTCTTCTCTAGGTGAGTTCTATTTGAAGTTCTGGGTCTGTACAGTATGAGATGAAGCAGTCATCTACCTTGCTTCGTTTAAGATGGCATCTTTTAAGAGGTCTAAGACAGAAGATTCTGGTACTGGACTGATAGAGAAATTTCCCAAGGAGGGAAGTAAAGTCTTATATAATCAGGAAGCAAACAAGAGCAAATGGTGCTTAGACTCTTTGCTTTGAGTTGTCAGACTAAGAACAATTAGAAACGGTAGCTATTTTGAGAACTGTATTTTAACTGAGTTCTGAATCTGACCATTAATGCCCCTGGAACCATTTCAAATGAAGGCCATTCTTTATGGAATGCTCAGAAGCAAAAAAAAAAATTCAGGTAAGAATTAGGACAAACGTTACCATTAATCCTAATCTAGGTCTGCAAACATAGCCTGTACACAAGATTTTACATCTACTAGATATTTTGTTCCCTAGCCTCTGTTTGTCAGAAGCTGGGAATGGGAGACATGGGTGGGATCACTTGATTACCTGTTCTGTTCATTCCCTTTGTGGGCACCTTGTATTGGCCACTGTCAGAAGACAGGATTCTGGGTTAGATGGACCTCTGGTCTCACATAGTGTGGCCACTCTTATGTTCCAATGGTTAATCATCCTCACACCTAAAACCTGTATCCTGCTTTCTTCCTAATTTGAGTCTATCTGGCTTTATCTTCCAATTATTGGTGCCTGATGGATTGTCATCCCCATCTAACCACTCAGATGGCCTGGCCCAGCCTATATTGCTTTGCTGGTGCATCAGCCTCTCCAGAATTCTATCATCTTACACTGCACAAAGATCTGTACAAAAGTGAGCTCATTAATAAAGTTGACCTTCACCTACATGTGAGAAGGATATGCAACAAAGCTAAGTTGTATCCAAACTGACACTTCACAGGTTTAGATAAAGCAACAAGTTTATTAATTACAAAAGGTTAAGTGATTATGTATCATAGCAAACAGATCCAAGCAGATTACCTAGCAAACAAACAATCTATCTAATATCTTAAGCTTAGTTTGCAGTTTGTCTCTCACCCTGGCTGATAATACAAGTAGTCCACCAGGTTTCCATACGCAGGCTAGAATGCCCTTAGCCTGAGATCAGCACTTGCCCCAATTCAGTCTTTGTTCATCAACTGCTTCTAGGAGTTTACTTGTGTGAGCAGGAAGATCACTAAATGATGCTACACCACCCCTTATATAGCTTTAACACAGTGAA